CCGCACATGAAGTCATGAAAGTCATGTATATGGTCATCCCTAACTATGTCTACTTTCAGGGATACGTGAAGAAACCCCTGTCCTTCAGAAAACCATTTCCAAACCCAGCCCTGTTCAACAAAAGCCGAGCAAGACGCTTGAATGCTGAGCACAACAAGCCGGAACGTCTCCATTTTGAGGTCAGCGACGGTGGTTACAAGTTCAACTACGAGTTTGCTGGGACACCGACCGTAGAGCATGTGGTGAACTTAGATGAGATTGAAGGTGTCCAAGGATTGGCTTGCTTGTTGGATGAGGCTCATGGGATTCATATGAAGATCTATTGGACTAATTTGCAGGTGGCCATATCCATGGAAGCTCTTCTTCAAGAAGGCGCGGTTGTCAGTGGCGGGCTGGAATGGCATTGTGCTAGCCACTTGTCTGGACCCCAGGCTCAGCATGCTCAGCATACTGGCTTCTTATTTCAAGTGTTCAGAGTTGAAAGCTTGGCAAAGAACGGCACGCTCCTGACGATTTTGCACGTTCATCACGTCACTGTCTTGAACATCTTCCGCAACCTTTATCTGAGCCTGTCCTGGGAAGTTGAAAGCCAACATCAGCCTAAGCGGAATGGCCGAAACCTTCAGGCTAACTAACTGTCACCAGGTAATGTGGGAACTCAACTACGATTGTGAAGCGAAAGATGCCAAGGAAAAAATACAAATTGGACCGTTTGAATTCAAGAGCTACTCTTTCTTGAAATACACGCCAAAATTTGAGCTGGAGAGCGACTCACGCGGACTTCCTGGGAACATTTCGCTGGGTCTTCAGGCCGGAAGAGCTTTTTTAGAGGTGTAGAAGGTGCATACAAATATATCACTAGCATGGACATCGTTGAAGCAGGCATTCGGGTTGCGGCGTGGACACTTATAGGCAGTTTGTTGCCTGAAAAACAACATAGGTCTTGTTCGTTGACACCTTGCTTTTGCTGCAGGCCCATTGCATATGGTAGGCATCAGAAATATTCTTATGATAGCGTAGGCAATTTGAGGGCAAGTCACCTAAATCCCACGTTCGTAGGTTTTTCATGAAGTTATCATGAATGGGGCAGTGCAGGTAGACTGGAAGATAATGCCAGATAGAAGATTGAAGCGACATCCTGGATAGGTAGACTTTGTAGCCGAGGCCGGATTGTCTCCTGCGATCGACATCGTCAAAGGCGATTGGTTTGAAATTGCCAGAATCGAAACGCCCAATTTACTTGCAGTTGCAGTCCCCGTCTTTGGCGCGCTTGTTAGTGGAATCAATGACTGGACCCTCAAGGTTGGCATCTATGGTTTCCTAAAACTCAAAGGCTCTGTAAACATAGGGAGTGTGCTCGCACAAGAGATAGCAGCAAGTGTGTCGGTGTGTTGGGAGGGTGCCGGAGTGTCTTGGAGAGCAGCAGATGGCTTTGACTACAGCCTGGGAGGTTTCACTTATAATGCATCGTACACACTTCCAAATGTGGACCTCCTCTGCAGATCTTTCAGCAGCTCTGGCGCCTTGTATTGGGCTGGACCTTCAGGCCTTGGATGAGAGCATGTCTGAGCTGGAAGCCTGTTTGGAAGTGCACATGGGATACCCAGCAACACAGTAAGCGGAATTGCCAGCGGTGCTGCAAATCCTCATGGTGACCAAATCGATGAAAAGCTTTGCGCAAATATGTTGAAGTTCAGGACGGACATGGACCTGGATTACCCTGATTCGGATGAGGCTTTTGCAGAATGGTGCTTTGCTGGCAAATGTTTCAAGACAGAATATGAGTATTTCCAGGGGAATGATGTGACATGGGATCAAGGGTATCATTGCATGAATATCAGCAGTGCCTGGCTTACAAGCAATGTCTTGCATGTACGAGTCAAGGAATCAGACCCAACATGGGATGACGTCTATGCGACCCTGTCCGTTGATCTTAAAGAGCAAATGGAAATTGAAGTGGATGGAGTAGATATGGACATGCAAGGCGAAGGAACCTTTGCTCAAGTTTGGGTAACGATTTCTCGATCCAAATCTCGACGTCTATCCGCAGCCCATGTCAACGGTAGCAGCCCACAAAGCTGTACGCGCAGCAATTGGACTGGCTATGGGCTGCATGGGGGCATCTCTGGCTTCAAAGTTCCTTCATTTTGGAACCATGGATCAACTATCCTCTTAGACCCTATTAGCATTCCAAGCGTCAAGACCACTTGTCGTGATGCTGACGTGACTGGGGCAGCTAGTAATGGCACTGACGACTTCGATGATGACGACTTCGATGATGACGACTTTGATGCTGACTTAAACAACACCGACATTGATAGCCTCACCGCTCAGATTTCCTTTGCGATGCCAGCTTTGCCCTTCCTGGCCCCTATGTTGATGCTGCCAGTATTTGAACAGCTTGGGCAGGTGAGACAAGCTTGTCACACCCTCCGCATCCAGCTGATGAGCCTGTGACCCTGAGCGCTGTTTGGGCTTTGACTGCAAGAGCTAGGTCTTTGAGTGTTGGGGGTTGCAGTTTGGTGCTGGAGGCAAGTTTTCATTTCAGGGATATGCAGGGTGAGCCCAACTTTCCCTTTCCAAGCCCTCAAAGAGGGCTTGTGTGCTTTCCGTCTTTCCGTGTTGCAGGACTCAAGTGAATCTGCGTAAGATGACCGATGGGGAGCCAACAAGTGTCACTGGCCAAAACTGGCCCTTCTGTACCGTGCTTCGTGGCCAGCCAACCTGGCCTCAGCGTGATCAGGGGAAAATACCTGCGTGTAATGCAGATGAAGAATACATTTGACATCAAATCAAACAAGTTGAAGAAAGCCACGAATCTGGCTCATGACTCATCACTGCACAAACCATGGCGACATCAAAGTATTGTGCTGCTCCTCTTCTCTCCTAGTTCGCTGCTTCAGGCCTGCTTGAGGCTATCCGATGCTGGCGTCAAGGTCTGCGTCAACGCACCTTGGTAGCTGGTGGCTCGATACACTTATATGTATATGCCTTTGCCCCCAAATAGATAGAAAAGTGATTCATCCTCACTTTAGTGTATTTTCTTCCTTTTCTAACCAATTTTTGAGGGAAAGAATCCCAAATTTGTATGCCTACCCTCTAGTGAATCAAAAATCCACCATTTTTAGATGATCTGCCTCGTAAAACTATCAATTTTCCATTGCTAAGTTAGTTCACCAGAGTGCACCTGTAGATTTTTTCTGCAGTTCACCACTGCACATCCCAAATACCTCAGTTGACTGCACCTAAGTTCAATATCCAATTTTCTTGCGCGCCAAGCGCTTGTCAGTGATATCCGTCGGATTTTTCAAGCTTCCTCCTTGTCTCTGATCAGTCTGGCAAATGGGCTTTGACCTTGGGGACGATCTGTTAGTTACAAATCGTTGCCATGCCAGTTTGCAATGCGACGACAAAATGTTTGAAAAATGTCATACCAGTAATAGGCAACCCATACTGAATATTTATGGCCATTTTGGAGGTGGTTTCTTATTGCTTTGCCACAATTGCCAGTTTTTTCATCATGCCATCGCAGAAGATTCTTCTCGCTACTTACTCCTAGTAATTAGACGTTTTCAGGAAACACGCCGTTGGAAAAAATGATGCAGTATGCTGAACCCAGGCATCGTCACCACGTACGGTTGAAGGACGAATTCCTGTACCACCCTAAAAGGTTACGTTCCTATGATGATGGATTTTACTGTCACGCTTACCAGCTCATGCAGGATTTTCAGCATCACCAGTGTTACCACAGATCACTACAAAATCATCACATATCACAGAATCATCGCAGAATCATCTAGGTAAATTATAGTGGCCTCCCTCGGACCTCACGAAGTAAATGCTGGTTGGTAGGGGTTAGGATCCATTTGGATGGCCGAAACATTATCGGTTGGTGAATTCTGACATAGTTTACTCAGAATCATCAAAGACCACCTGTGGGACAGTTACCAGCACTCTCAGTTTCACATGTTTCACCCTTCTCTCAACCTCGGCCCAGGCGACAACCTGGTGGTGTCGTCAAGGATGGGGCGACTCGCGTGGATCATGTGGCTTCGAGCCATGGCCGTTCCCATTTGAGGATATCCGATGAAATCAGCCAACCAAGTTGCAGTGGATCTCGGGATCTGTCAGCACCATCAATTGTAAGGACGTCACTTGACGGCTGCAACAACGCATCCCGTCTGGCTTGCCTGCTTGCGCCATCCAGCTTTGCTCGTCGCCGCTAAGATACGACAACAACCGCACAGGCAATTGACATCCCTCGGACGTCTAGCAAAACATCGAATCATCTGACAGCATGCGCCTGGCACGGCAAGATCTCGCTCGATCTGGCACAGCCCCCGTGCTAGACCGCCCACCACCGAATCTTCACAAGTATGGGGCATGCTCCCTGGATTTTCCGGAATCAGACCCCTGTTGGTGCACATTGAGGGGCGTGAGCATCGCAAGCACTTCAATCAAAGAGCTGCAGCACGCAGAGGTTTGCATGCACGCGCCCCTGCTCTGTAGACTGTGCACATGGCAATGATTGGCAATGCAAAAGCCCGCTTCAACACCTGAGAGTTTCGACGTGAAGTTTACACTACATGAGGGGCCCGGGCCTCTGTGTCGGGGCTGATGCAAAGATCACCACCTCACGCAAACCGCGACAGAACCTCTGCTGCTTCTCAACAGAAGATTGACTAGCAGGTGCGGCTGGAGGACGCAGCGGGCAGGCTTCAATTGCAACAGCGCCCGGCACTTTGCGACCTCAGGTTTTGCCGTGCGGTCTCTCTGTGTCTCTCTGTGTCTC